ACCTCAAATTCAGCTTGCTGTTTGTCTTTACCTGAAAGCTTTTAAATAACCTAGCACCTTTTATTTCCTGCTTCCAGCCATATGACCTTTGCCCATAATGCAATGAAGACATGCAGGTTATCTGTCATAGAAGTCGGATTAAAGGAATCCACTTTTCCCATAAACATCCATCAATATCACCCCAATAACTGACTTATTTATTTAGATGTGAAATTGCATATAGATTATAACACAATGTATATATGCTAGCTACTGAATAATTAAAAAAAAGAAGTCATAGTTTAATATAAAGTTTCCAGCTGTTTTTTTTTTCTATACAAGAAAATCTTCTTCAAGACCTGGCAGATAGCCTAAAGCAGGTGTGGAGGTTTCTCCCATTGGATCAAAGACTTTCTTGTCTTCTTTTAAGTTACTGAAACTTGTTAGATCAGTTACAGCAGATTTTAGGCTTTTGGTAATTTGTTACATAGACGTATATATTTTACGTTGCCTAATAAACATTTAATTTTGTTTGAGAAAGGAAATTGCAGCCATGCTGATCTGAATGTCTGCAGCATCTTGCTGCAAACACTGAAGGACCTAAACTTCCTTAGGAAGTACAGGCTTCTCTGTTCTTTCTTGTAGACGGCTTGACAGTTGTGTCTCCAGTCTAGTTTGTTATCCAGGTGAACATAAAGGTATTTATACTCCTTCACCACCCCCACTTCCTCTCCCATTATATGAATAGGATTCAACTTGTACCTGTTTCTTCTGAAGTCTACAGTCATCTCCCTCATTTTGTTGAAATTCAGGATATTGGTCCCACACCATCTCTCAAAACATTTCACTCCTTGTACTCATCTTCTTGTCCTTCTTGATGCCCCTAACAACTACAAAAACATCCAAGTATTTCTGCGGATGACAAGACTCTACTGAAAGTCAGGTGTAAACATAGTGAAAAGGAATGGAGAGAGTACCGCCCCCTGTGGTGCTCCTGTGCTGCTGGCTACTTAATTAGACAGTTGACTGAAGGGTCAACTGTCAGGTAGCCTTTGAGTTAGCCGTCTTTAAGACAAACGTTCTGGAAAATATTAGTGTTTCGTGTTCGTTTTGACTTCGTGTGGCCTCAGTCAGCTACATATACTCTCCCTCTGCTATCACTCCTTGTTGGTTCCTTGTTGTTGCTGGTCCTGTTGTCGCTGTTCTCTGCTCACCTCGTCTCTCTCTGGCTCCTTGTGCGTGTTTTCCCCTGATGTCTCCATGGTTCTTGTCTGTGTTACATTTTTAGTTGGATTTCTGGATTTTGCCTCTGTTATTATTGTTTGCATTAAAACTACAAGAAATCACCTCAGCCGCTCTGCCTCTGCATTTGGGTCCTCTAAACCATAACCAAGACGTGACAATATGGCTGTTTTTAAGACTTAAGTCTGATTTATGCTTAGAAACCAGGTCGTCTGTGTGTGTGTTGCAGTGAATGCAAATATACCCCCGCCCCTTCCGCAGACACTCTGGTGCACCTCTCCAAAATTGTCGGTGACCACAGACAGGAGGCCTCTGATTGGTCAAATCTATGTCCGCTCTACACTATACGTATTTCCTGTTTGGTACCTTACCGGCTTGTTTTGTTTGTATGGCCGATGTCATTGTGGAAAACGACTCGTGAAATTGGACCAGCTAGAAGAGCGAGGTGCGCAAGAACGCTGGGGACCAATTTTCCACCTGGATCTCCGCTCTTTTTCACCCCCATGTCCCTCCATTGTCGCACAAACTTGCCCCCACTTCCTTACCGCCTCAGCTGTATCAAGACCCACAGCTAGTTCATGATTGTCCCTCTTGCGTTGTGGCGTGGAATAACATAGCAGACTACGCTTCAATATTGGGCATAAATCAAAAATATCCACGACAAGCTCACTGTGACACACTGCTGCGGAGGGTATAACCAGCCCTTAAGGCAGCCTGCCGGTTCTTGTTAGAACAGGGAAAAAAATAAAAAAGTTGGGTCACACAGGAACATTAGCTGAAGCACCTCAACAAATCAATTATTGAATTACAGCAAAACACAAAATAATGGCTCTAGAATGGCCTAGTAGCAGACCTGAATCCCATTAAGATGTTTTCATAACAAAACCACCTGTTTGCTTGACTGAAGTCAAAGAGTTAAATAGTGTTTGATGTCAGCTGCTGTTGCCCACAGTAGAACAAACAGTTGTTTGGATTAAGGAGCAAGTACACTTTTCACTTTTTTTAGGATCACTTTATTTGTCTTAATAAATAAAATCTTTATTCATTTCTTATGTTTGATAGATGTTTTTTTTTCTGTGCGACAAAACAAGGCCAGAAATGAAAGAAATCTGTCAGAGGGTGAAAAAAAGAAACCATTCAAAGCTCTGTGTGCCGCAGGCTGCTGTCTGAGACTTCTAACTGGTTACATAGAAACGTCTGCTTAAGATCCAAACTTGGGTTTTTGTTACCAGAACATAGATAATACATTAAACGCAACAAGGAGTCCAGAATTTCTAATCTTCAGGTTGTTTTCTTAGGAAATTTTCCCTTCAATAAATTTCATGTTTCTCCTGATTTTAAGGTATACATTGTGATTTTGTTATTGGTGATAATTCATCAAAATTTCTTTTTCTAATCCAACAAAATGTTTAACACAGTAGGATGTGTTACTTTTTTCCACTCAGAGGAATGTGTACTAGATCCATTGGAAAAATTACACCCAAGTGTCACTTTTGTTAGGAATCCAGTTTGTGTGGGTTGTTTGTGTTTGTTCTCTCTCCACCACCAGGTGGTGCCCTGTCCTCGTTGGTCCTCCCTGCACACCTGCGGCCCATTGGTTCATTACTGGAGGAGTATTTGAGCAGTGGGCTGTCACTACCTCGATGCCAGAGTGTTTGCCAGTTTTGGGTACTCTAGCTAAGCTGAGATTAGCAGAGTCTAACCTACGCTTTGTTTCTCTGAGTTTAATCTGTTTTTGTCTTTGCTCTTCGATAGGAAGCCTTCCTGTGAAAACTGATTGCCTGGACCTTCTCCCCCTGGAAAGAATTACTGCGAATACACTGAGCAGGGGAAAACCTCCACATGATCCGTTCAAGTTCCCATCGGAAATCCAAGTGACAGTCCGCTCCATTACTCCTCTGGGTCCAACGAATGTCTACCGGTCTGCTGTCCAACGGGTTCCCCCCTTCTCTGGATTACCCCCACACAGACTGGATTCAAGGTTTGACAAGAGCCACCTCAAACATGAGTCCCTTTCTAGCATTATTCAGGCCGCAGTCAAATTACCTACGGTCCCTGAAGTGATCTCTGTGATCTCCCCATCAGACCTTCCAGTTCCGGTTCACCAGTCCACTGAGTTCCAGATCCTACTCTATATACGTTACATCAAATAAACCTGTTAAACTTTCCCCCGTGTTCTCTGAGTGGTTTCTCTGCATGTCGGTCAGATTCCTTAAACCGATCATGACAACTTTAGCTAAACCTAGAACCATATATGCCTGGTCCTTCTACGAAGGGAATAAAAATGGTTTGATTTATTTAAAGCTTGTTTATCTGAATTTATCGGACAAATTAAAATGATGGCCTAGTGATTAGAGCAGTGCGCTTGTGCTCTGAGAAGGTTGCAAGTTCCAGGTTCAATCCCCCCAGCCTGCACACTGGGTTCCAGGGTTCCTGACCCAACCCAAGAGGATGGGTCATATGCAGAGAGTGAATTTCCCCATTGTGGGACTATAAAAGGGATTTATATTTTGCAAAAACCTCACTGAGTTTGAAACTAATTTGAGGTATTAATGCAAGTTAACAAGACAATGAAGAGTGCCTTAGATGAAAAAGGCATTTAAATGTTAGCATAAAAAAGTAAATGTAAATTGTAACAAGAGAACAGTTATTTGGGATGAAATTATATTAAAACATAAAGCTAAATATCCTTACCTGGCTCCATCTTGATTACTTTAATAGCTGCCAGCTCTCCATTTTGCTTGTTGCGGGCCTGAAAAAAAAAAAGAAACAGATCACAGAAATATTAATGTTTCACACCATAACATGAGTTATACGGGAGTTGTTGTGTAATTGAGTTTTCTTGTGCAACAGTGGAATCTGCAGGTTTGCAGTCCAGATCTGTGGAGTGCAAGAAACAACCCACATCTCTCTGTGGCATTATGAACAAAGTCTAAATTTATAGCAAGTGATCATGCGTACATGTAGTCATACGCACATGCATGCAGTGACCTTTAAAGGCGTGATAGCAGAGGATGGCGATATTTCTGTTTACAAGATCGTCACAGATATGAAAAGAAAGCTATTTTTGTTGTGCAAAGTAGTAAAAATTAGCATTTCCTTGTATTTGGTTGTTGTTTTATTGGGTTTGCAGGAAGTAAATGATAGCAGAAAAGCAGCAAAGCTTTGCTGTGAAAATATTTAACAACCACCAGTATAGTGAAACCACTCCGACTTATCTCAGTTACAGCTGGGTGCTAACCAGTTAGAAACTCCCGCCCAGGCAAACACCAAATTCACTTAAACCACTAGATACTTTTGCTTTTGTATTTCACTTAAACATATTGCAAAGCATTGGAATGATGAACGATATACAGGTTCTTTGTTGTACAGAGACTGGTTCTGGGAGGAATTGAGGATTTACATTTGGATTATGGTCTCCCCTGCATCTCCACTGGGGTTCCAGCATGTCTCAGGCAGTTGGGAGTTTACTTCTTTTGTTTTGGACATTGCAGAACAAGAAAAGCCAGGCATGCTCTCCTTTTACGTGTTTAGGTTCTCTCTGGGGACTCCAGCTTCTCCCAAACAACATAACCATTGATTGGTCTCTTTAAAATGCCCTTCATTAGGGCATTTGTGCAAGATTGGCTGTCTCTATGTCACCCTGTGACAGAGTGGTAAACTTTCCAGGCTTTAACCTGTTGTCCTATCATCTAGGTGACAGGCACCAAACCCCAAACTTCTCTATAAGGATTAGCCAGTATAATACAATCGATAGATGGACAGATGGATAAGTAATTGGAAAAGTTGGTATAAGGCTTTCAAACTTAACACTCTACCAACTGACAAGCATGGTGTTGGTAGCATCATGTTTCCGTGTTATTTATGCATTGACTAAAAGAAGATGTGAAAGAGTAGAAGAGGGACAACCTCTACATTCTTCTTCTACATTCTTAAAGTCAAATCAGTAGCTCGATCAGAGGTCTGCAACATGCAGTTCCAGAGCTGCAAGTTGCTCTTTAGACCTTCTACCTTGTCTCTTAATAGAGGTTAAAAATTATATATAAGCCAACTAATGCTTTTGAATCAAGCATAACAGAAATATATCAATCTTAGAAGCTTTAGCAGATTGTTTAAAGACATTTTGAATTTAAATTTCATAACAGAATTACATTAAAATTACCAAAAAATATGTTGTTTTTCTTTGGATTTTTTAAAATTATTTTGGTCCTAATTTTGTTCTTTCTTGAATCAAATATGTTATAGAAAGTTTTCCATGTTTTAAAACCTAAAAGGACAAAATATCTGTTAAAATGGTAACAGATTTACTAAAATAGCTATTTAACAAAAATAATTAGTGTTTTATTATTAAAAGATCATGTAATTTTACTAAACACCTTTTATAAAGTTGTACTAAGGACAAAATGGTTCTTTGGATTTCAAAGGTTGCAAACTGCTGAGCTAGATTTTTAAAACTTGGTCACAGTTCAAATATGTGAATGATCCCAAACAGACTTTAAACCGATTCTGGGACAAACAGAGAGCCTAAGACGCAACATTAACCTTATTGACCACCATGCTTGAAAGCAGGGTCCACGACAGGAAGCCAGCAAATTTAATGAAACTCAACGACATCTTGTTGGGTTAACAAAAGAGATAAGTAAAAGAATTTGGTGGCCAAATTAAATCAAATTTATGTAGAAGAAGAAAAACACAAATGTTTGCACCAAACTACCAGCTCTGCAAATGATCTAACTGTAGAGTCTGACATTTTAAAAGAGATTACCAGCAGTCTAAGACTGTATGCAAATGAGGTCAACCAGAATGCTTTAGACCTTTTTACAAGTTTTGTCAAGATTTTTGTCGAAATAGTGAAGCTGTCATGTTGTCAGAATCTGCTACCAGCTAATATCTGCAATGCGCTCCATAAAGTCAAATTAAAATCAGAATAAAATGTACGGTATATCAAAACACAAAACCCGGTGTATTTCTAAACCATATTCTGTAGGAAAACAATTCAATTTATAAAGTGGGTACATGCAGCCAAAATAAGTAGACTTTTCACACATGGCAGAGCAACCCTCCCACAGCAAGGGAAGGAAACACCGATTCAGATTGTAACTCCTTAAATAGAAAAGAGTCATAGGCGTACTTAGCCAGCCACCCGGGGCAGGACAGCTTGTACAGAATGAAACGGAAACTTCAGAGTCTAAGAGAGGGAGGTTTCAAAACACCCCACGTGGCATTTAAAGCTCAATTCTCTCCAAGGCAACGATGCCAGAAAAGTAATTAAAAAAGTATAAAGTTCATTCTTAAGCCAATAATGTAGTCATCACAGGGCAATTACAATCATTTATTTACTGCTAAAGAATTTCAACTCTTGTCTACAATCATTATGCTGCTGAGTCGTTGGGTCAGTGGTAAATTACGGTTTAACGTAATGAGAAAAACTTCATCACTAAGTTAAATGTGTCTTATCATAAACAGGAGAATGGAATTCTTTTTAGCGACTGGACTGCAACGGCGGCCTCCTCTGCATGTAGGGTTCAATTAGTCGGAAAATCTCAACCGCTGGCGTTTTAATGTAATGGAAGCCGACACTTTGCAGTCGGGGACATTTGGCGTCGACATTTCAGCCTGCTTTAAGCAGAGCTGTGACATTAAAATGGAAAGTCAGCGTGGTGCGGTTGCAGAAGGGGGGGGGGTCAAAAAAATATTTCATCAGATAAACACTTACCTACTTAACCTTAGCCAAGCTTTCATGCTCTCTGACCGACAGCAAAAACACCATAAAGTCATGTGATTTTACCTTCCATCTACAGGATTGAAATCTAATTGGACTAAATACAACTGATTATCAGTGTTGGGCAAGCTACTTGTCCAGTGTAGTGAGCTAAGCTATCAGTTACTCAACAATAAATTAAGCTTCACTAGACAAAAGCTACCACCTAAAGAATTATAGCAAGCTAAGTTACACTAATGTGTTAACAGTAGCTTAACTACATCAGAAGCTACTTAACGTTGTACCAACCTAATATCAATTCAAAATGAGTCTGACACACTAGTTAAAACATTTATTAAAGATCAGCCAATGACATAACACAGTGTAAAAATTGTTTTATGATCAGCATAATAAAAAGAACTAAAGTATTTACTAGTAGACAAAGTAGTAAACAATCTGCTGTTATTAGAACCAAATTAAAGGTACTGTGTAGTGTTCTACACATCGAGACATGGCTATGAGTTTGCATTCAATGGACATCTCTAGGGAAAACAAAACCCTACAAAAGGCATCTTATTTCTTTAGGGTCTCCCTTAGAGAAAACTTCTTCAGACCTCAATTAAACAGTCGATTCAAGTAACAAATGAAACTGTTTACAAAAAAGGTGAAAAAATAAAGAAGCTAATTAAGAGATATATATACATTTATGTCTCACTGTATAATTTAATTTCTACCTACATATTTATTCATTGTATTTTGGGGGGGTTATTAATTAAATGCTTATTTATTTATTGAGCATGTATTTATTTTTATATATGGGAGAGCTGTTCCTCCATACCTAAAAAATCTTATCTGTGCAAATAGGCCTTTAGATTTATGTAAACATCCTGTCTGGTAAATTAGGCCATGAAAATACAATATCTAAGTTTGGCTACTGCTCTCTAATGAGATTATCTTAGTGGCACTCATCAGATTTAACTATTTGGAAATTAAAGGCGGCAATAAAGTTAAAGCTGTTTATATATTTATATTTTTCTCATTTTTATTTTAAAAAATTGACTGCAGTTGCTTGTTTTAATGAGTGTTTGGCTATATAAAACAAATGGCTAGTCTTGGCCACATGAGCTCTCAATGGCCAAGAACCGAAATTTGAACACGTACTTTTTATCAGAGGATTCAACAAGTTTCAAAATCTCTGAAGTAAGGCGCTCTGCTCCTGTCTCCTTCATCCTGTGTGTGTGTCTGCGGGTGTCATTCTTTGAGTTCCACTGCAGTACGCATGCGCATGTTTCGTAGATACAGACAGGAGAGGCAGAATAGAGGCTCATGTGTGAATGTCCAACAAATAACTCCGATTGTTGTTTCAAAAATAGAAAACCTGCTTTCATTACTTAGTTATGCCCTGGATTTTGTAGCGTTTGTGGATGCTACGTCGCTACTTGATAAAAATAATAACATCACTACAGGAAAGTTACTTGATAACTAAAGCAGCGACGCTACGGTCAAGCTACTGGAAAATGTAGTTAAACTAATAGCTTCGCTACATGTAGCGGCGCTACTGCCCATCACTGCTGATTATATGAACCTCAGCTTGATTCATTGCTCAAAAACATTTAGTGGGACTCAAATGTGTTAAACTTAACATCAAATTTAGAGCCAATCGCATTTTTGCTTACTGAAGAGAAGACTTTTGTAAATGACAAATCAGCTTCAACCAAAATGATATGAAAATAAATAAGAAGTTCAGGATGAAAAATGAGTTCAAAAGGGACAATTTTTCCCTTATTATAAAAATAAAAACTTTATGTTCATTGCTAAACCTACTTTGGGGTTTCCATATGGTGCACACCTAATTCAGTTCAACCTGAAATGCTATTTTGGTAACCTCACACTGTTGTTTTGGGCTCTTTTCTTATCAGACAAGTTGATGCTAACATCTGAGTCAGATTTTTTTTTAATTTACTGTTTGACTCTATTTCTCTTCCTTCCATCCCCTTTGCCACTTTGTTATTACGCCTACCACTAGAGGCAAACTTTTTGTTACATAAAAG